TAGGGAAACCGAAAAATGAGTCATTTGATATGCAGACTAAACAAAATCCATGAATTAGTCAGAGAATCTTAACATATAGTAACAAACTTATGCTTTAAAATGAACAAATAGTTGTAATAGTCATTATTGTGCCCAAAACTATGCAAAAAGCATCCAAAAAGCATCCAAACGGTTTGCCTATTCCATACTAAATATATTTATTTATCAACTATTTTGTAAAATATCCATTAATACCATACAAAATTAGTGAAACAATGAAACAATTACTAATAAGTTACTAAAGGGGAGAACGTTTCAAAAGGTGCTAAAAAGGTAAAATAAAATTCTCAAAATACTCCTAAAGGGGTATATCGTGTGCCCCCAAACTTTCAGGAGGTTCTCCGCTTTTTAAAAAACAAGTTATTTACCGTCAAATCAATGCTTTAATTATAACTAATTATCGAAAATATTATCAATAAGAAAACAAATAAATTATCAAAATAAATCGTACCGGTAATATAACTAACTAGTTACCTTCACAAGAATGGGTCCCACCAGAATGATCACAATTGGATAAATGATGGGACCTATGGAATGATACAGTGAATATGTTGCTGCGTCCCAGTTGTATACCTTTTGGACAAATTGAAATAAAAACGACGTGGATTTAGTGTAGCCGCAAAACTGTGCCGCAAACACCAGCCATATCTGAGCCCTGACAGAGTTGAGCCGTCGCTTAACACATGTCAACACTATTTCCTTTACGTTATTTAAATTAAACAACAGTCGGATGGGATGCACGGTTCGATCGGCACCGGTATTGGTCTCAGGGATTTCGTCCATTACTGATGGCATAGGTTTTGATGTTATGTTTTCTGTTTTATCGCCAAAATATTTGTCAAACAATTGTTGATCTCTTTGTTGGTTAACAAGAAATACAGCCCATAGAAGGCATACAACGTTAGCACAACTGGCCATCAAAAATATGAGACCGCAGTTGTGGAGCTGTCCGGTGCCGCCCACAGGGCTCTGGTTTATTAATTTACCCGATATGAACTGACCCAATGGAATGCCTGAGAGGTAAAAATAATTGTAATTATTTTGTTATTAAACCAATGAAATACTTACTTATGCCATGAATTACTTTATTAATTGTCATACGGAGTGTACGGGAGTTGACTGGAGTAGTGGCCGACACATAGCTATACGGTAACATCCATATCATTGCACCGGATAGTGTAGACGGTATAAATGACAATAATACCCAGTTTAAACCTATTATATTTACACAATATGTTTATTATCAACACTAATTAATATTAAAAATTTATTAATTTAATTTACCTAAATCAAAGTAGAAGGAATTTAATGTATTTAACGCATACTCTATTGCTTGTGTCAGTGCGCAAATTATAAACATAATTTGGTGACCTTTAGGGTACTTATCAATCCAGGGGCCGAGAAATAGTGACCACACAATGCCCGGCGCAGTCGATATCCACATGTGATATGCGTTATACTTCACGGCGTCCGACAATACGGCTGTCTTTACGTCAATGTACTGCTCGTTGTCCTTCATTTGCGGCAAATGTCGGCAAAACTCTTCGGACATATTGTAGACATTTCTACAGAGTTTGTCCTGAATTAACACTTCCAGTGGTGTCCGACGGAAATAGTAAAACGTGGCGAACACCAGCATAAATGGCTCCATTCGTAACAGTGAGATGAATCGAATAAATGTGTTCACTCTACTCATCATTTTAAATAATTGTCTGTTTTTTGTTTAAGTGAAAAAACAACAACAAATAATTCAATATTTAATATTAATAATATAAATGGTAGATATACAGTAGTCAATTAATTTGCTTATTATTCATTTTTTTAAAGTTAAATTAATTTCAAATTTTTATCAGTTATTTTTAATACAATAGTTTAAAGACACTTATTATTTAAAAAAAAACTAGAATAGGAAAAGCATATACTCGTTAAGGCATACAATTAAAAGGTTAAGTTCTTTTTAAAATAAAACATAATATAAAACAACGTATGACCACATCTATTGCGTGATATAAGAGTTAAAAATATAAAAGCAATATAATAAAATATACATGTTGATTTCAATTTCAGCTCAATACTTAATATTTTGTATTACAAATATGAAATAATGAATTTCACGTATACCCCGACCAATAAAGTACCTTTGGTACGTAACACGTATACCGTTTTTCATAATCTGGTTTTTACTCACAATTTATTTACGAAAAATGTGTTTTATAATCATATTGATATTCCCCTACCCCTTCCCTAACCTATAGGATTTAACATATAAATCATTTGGCTATATTAACATTATACAGTATAATTTATACTTATATGTTTAACATGGTGACGCTTTAACACGGGTTTCTATGGGTTTACAGCTTAGATTTATGATATAACAGCAACATGGGTAATACTACTTTTATAAATGATGTTTCTATGAAATGGTTTTTCTATCAAGATTATTCTTCTATGGATACATTAAACAAATGATAATTTTAATAAAACTAATTGTCGTTAAAGTATTTAAAATTATCAAAATAACATTATTAAATGTAACCAAACAATAGCATTAAAATATTTGAAAGTATAGTGCACCGCCCAAAATGTAGTTAATTTATAGCATCGCAGTGTGAACCTTGTTTAAACAATAAGTGTCTTTAAACAATTATATCAAATATAACTGATAAGAACCATAAATGTATCACATTTTAAGATAATGATAGCCAAATATTTGAATCATATAATCCAAATTGGTGCTAACTGGTTTTATCATTGATCACATGAGTGTCAATATACAATTACATAATTATAAATGATTAATTGTTTATAATTTTTGTACATTTATTATATATGAACAATTAATCCTTATATTGAAATTTAATCAATCTAATTTTTTAATCGTAGCATATGCACCCAACAAAGTAGGTGACGATAAAAGGTTAATCGTTTTTGACCGGCTGATGTCATTATATGGGTTATTTTTAGGGTATTTTGCAAAAATTTTAGTTAAAAAGTTAACCCGCGTCAAAAACAAATTTGACTTTTAACCCAACGAGTCAAAAAATTGATTTTGACCCGGGTTAACCTGAATCAAAAGTTAACCCTGAGTCAATTTGGACTACTCTACTAAATCGGTACTGCAGTTAAACTTTTTATTCTGAAGCCTTTAATCCGGGATTTTTGCCAATCTAGAAATCATCTTTTCAGACCCGATTCATGACATTGGTTGCTAACATAGAGAAGTTGACAGCATAGAAGTTTAGCTCTATTTAAGTTTTAATTAATTATGTTTTACTTTATTATACGGAATTGATATATTTATAAATATTGTTTAATAAAGTTATATAAATTTATATATAGAATGAGTGATATTTAGTCTATCCATTCCTTAACACCAAAGTCTTTGATTTTATGGTTTTAGACAAGTTTTTCCTGTTTGGCCATCGAGTAGAAGATGGATGTGTTGTCCGCTAAGAGCTGTTCCGGTGTTCCCGACTCTGCGATCGATCCGTTGTTTAATACGATAACTAAATTGTAATCAATAATAGTATTCAATCGATGGGCTATTGTTATGATTGTCGAGAACTGAAACTCTTTGCGTATAATCTGTTGAATTTTATCATCAGTTTTCATATCAATGGCTGTAAAACAATACAACAATCAGTCATGTAATGCACATGTAATGAATGGTTAGTATCGCACCGGCAGTCGCCTCGTCCAGCACTAGAACCCGAGTCCGTCGGAGTAGAGCTCTGGCCAAACAGACCAACTGTTTCTGACCGGCGCTAAGATTCTGGCCGTTCTCTGCGATCTCGTGATTGAGACCTCTTTCCAGTGACTCCACGAATGTCTTCAGATGTGCCGACTTTAAGGCCCGCCATATCTTGCGGTCTGAGTATTGGACTAAAGGATCCAAATTATAGCGCAAAGAGCCACTGAAAAGCGCCGGATCTTGAGGTATGATTGTTAGCCTCGATCTCAAGTCATGTAATCCAATGGTAGAGCAGTCGACGCCATCGATGGTAACGGTTCCGGCCGTCGGCTCAATGAGTCTGAAGAGAGCCAACGCGAGGGACGACTTTCCAGCGCCGGTGCGGCCGACGATCGCAACTCTTTGTCGGCCTTTTAAATCAATTGTTATATCTTTGAGCACTAAATCCAAACCCTCTCTATATTTAGTGCAATAGTCTGTGAACTCAATGCAACCCATTGTCGGCCAATCGGTCACAGGTTTTACCTCTTTATACCACTCGGCCTTCAAAATAAATTTAACAATAAAATAATTATTATATCATTTATCATTAATAGAAAGTTGTAATGATAAATATAATTTTCATTCCATTTTAATGAATTTTTATCAATTTAATTAAAACTATTATTTAATAAAAATTAACTTTATTTAAAACTTTTGCACAAATAGTGCGAAAACACACAAATCGTGTATTTAATGTTAATTTACATTTTTGTATTAACTGATTGTATGGAGACTGTCTTTAATTCCCGTCCCGTCGAAAATTTTTAATTTACATAAATTATTAATACTATATATTCGATGTAGATTTTAACGCTGATTACAAATATGCAATTCATTTTTTATTGACCATGACAGTTTTTGAGTTATTCGACTTTAAAATATTAAAATTTGAATATCTCGAAAAATATTCGAGATAGAAAAATTTAAATTTCAAATTCGAACTCAGCATTAAATTCTACATAAAGGTAAATGTATAAACCAAATTTTTATCGGAAAAAATTTTACCCTATCGACGGGACAGTTCTGATCGGCATTTAGGTCGACGGGACACCGCATATATAACGACGAATCAACGGTAAAACTTTAAAGTTGAATCTGATTTTGAGATTTTAAAGTCGAATAACTCAAAAACTATCATGCTCATAAAAAAATGGATTGCATATTTGCAATCTGCGTTAAAATTTACATTGAATTAATATATATTATTAATAATTTATTTAAGTTTAAAATTTTCGACGGGACGGGACGGGAATTAAAGACAATCTCGATTGTATGTGATGTAAGTCTAGGACTTAAATAGGGTGACATTTGGTGCCCTCACTTTGATGTCCAGTTCATTCTGGGAATGTGTGTACAGTATGTTTGTAATTAACATTATGGCTGTGAAAATATGGTTAACTTATTTTAAATATAACTAAAAATTCAAATGAATTAATTTCACAAATAAATGAAATATAAATTCTATGTAATATTTCATTTTACTTTTACACATTTATATAAAATGTACAATTAAAAACAAGGTTCACACAATTCCGGTGATGCTCAAAGAATAGATTTAGCATTACCCGTGGACTTTGGATCGCCCATGTTAAACTCGTAAACTAAAGCTGTAATAGAAACAAAGCATTATCCCATAGACTCAACATAAGTCCTAAACAACTAACATTGAGAAAAGCTAACTTTTCCCTTTAGATTTCACATTCAAATAAACAATAATTTATCATAAGATTAACATTACCTATGTTAAGTCTATGTCATAGGATTAACATGGATTGCCATGTTAAATGTTAAAAGGTAGGGTTGCCGAACGAGGCAACTAAACCACGTTATATTCATATTTGAATTGTGAATAAAAACTGCATCAATACCTCAACCGGTATTTGCGTTAACGCCAAACACCTCTCGACAGCCATCCTATCGGTATCAGTGTCGGTCACTCCCCTCACAAACCTTCCCATAACATCAGTGATGTTCGCGGCATAAGTGATGGCCAGAGCGGCCACACCGGCGTCCACCGTATGCCTGAAGGCAACGGCAAACACCGCCGACAATAACACTATACTATAGCCCAAGAGCTCGAGCCATACGGCCAGCCATTGTTTGGACACGAGTAGCGCGTATTGACACGCGTTGTGAGCGTCGAGACGGCGGCGCGACTCCCGGCAAAAGTGACGGTCGGCGCCAAACGCACGGATGACTGCCGTCCCGTTGTATACCTCCGCGAAATGGCTTATAATGTGTGTTCGGGCGCCGGTGTCCACGTGTCGCAGCTGTCGTAGACTTGCGATGTAAAGCCGTTGACACCACACGTACACCACAATTATGGGTAGGATTGCCAGAAGAATTAGTGGTGTTTTCAATGATACCATAATCAACGATACGATTGACGCGAAAAAATTTTTAAACGTTCTCCTGAAGTGAAAATAGATTTCGCTGTCAATCAGATTCATGTCTTCGGCGAAAGGGTTGATCGTCTGACCCATTGGTGTCGTGTCTGTCACCGTATATAAACATAATTAGTTCTCTCTCTCCTCTCTCTCTCTCTCTCTCTGATCAGAATATTTTGGATTTGAATAAAGCTTTTGTCTCCCTATCGTTGTTCACAATAATAGGTTTGAGAT